AAAAACTGCGGGGAACTATGCAAAAAACGCATCTTTGCGCGGGCAGCCCGTGCGTTGGCCAATTATGTCCTTAGTGCATTTACATTTGTTGATCTTTCTGGTAGACAGCTCACAGATTCAAAGTGTTAGGATGTCACCAGTGAATGGAGTTTTATTAAGGTTTGAATCGGCTTCCGTTCAGCCGCCATCGGGTCAAGAGAAGCTATTGGATAATGATCCAGCTGTTACAACGCAGCGACATTCGCCACAGCGGAAAACACAATATCCGTTTTATGACAAAAATGTTGCGGCGAAGGCTACGGACAATTATAAAGATCCCCATGAAATGCAGTACCATCCGAGGTCGAATTCCATTGGCAGCAGTGTGTATGGCCGCCCCCAACCTGCAGCACCAGCTTCGGTGCATTCGGACGACTTCCTGGAGCGGACGCAACGACGCAGTAACACTGATGGCAGTAATACGCCAGGCAGTCACGGAAAGAAAGCATATGTGGGCAGCTGGGACCAGCAACAATACGAATTGGGCCTGCGCAAGGTCTTTTTTTTGCATTTCCTGCTAGATGTAAGGCTTGAGCAATAAGTTATGCGTTTTGTGCTGTGTAACAGCTGTACAAAACGCATATTGCCACGGGGTTGTCTGTGTGTGTGTGTGTCCGCAGCAACTTGCTCGCAACTTTAAAATCGGGAACTACAAGAGCTTGGAAGCTGAAAATTTAGGGCAACGCTCCCCACCCACGTGCGACCCCGCATATTTAAATTTAGCCTTCCCTTACCCGTGGGTAACAAGTACGGCCCGGTGAAAACTTTGGCGGGCAAATTACTACCTCGGGAACCGCGGGACCTAGAAAGCTGGAATTTTAGGGTTATGACCTCATACACGACCTTATAAATTCAAGTTCAGCGACCTCGCGCTTTCGAGTATCACTTACGTCCCCGTTGAAATCTTGGCGAGAAAAATCATTGTCTCGGGAGCTAGAAGTGCTAGGGGACTAATAATTTCAGGAGGTTTCCCGTCTGAGCAGTGCTTCATAAGCTTGAATTCAGTCCCTAAGGTCTCGCGTACAACGGCATGAAAGTTTTGTCTCAGAGATCATTCGAAAGTCAGAAAATTAAGAGGTTATAATTTTCGAAGGGTATTCACCCTTCTAAGTTTCAAAATAAGCTGTTACGTACCTGTTC